CCACACTCTTGCTATGGCTCTAATAGCTCTGACCCCCAGACAACTTTATTTATTAACATACAATCAAATTAATATTTCAGTACAAATCAAAATAATATTTCAATACAATTAGATTACCACCACAAGGTGACTGTTAGCACACAGACCCAGAGATGGGCAGAGTTGCACATGTGTGTGTGTGAGTGAGTGTTTTCCCATTCAACCTGTACCTTTTTTGAAGGTGCTGAATGAAAAAAGAAAAATAGCTCAGACCCTGCCCTTCCATACCTGTGTTCTTCCTCTTCCACATCATAACAGCTCCAATGATAAAACCTAAGATCACCACAGCTCCAAGGACAGCACCAACCATGGTCATGATGGGGAAGGACTGAGGAGGCTCTAGGAAAGGAAGGGAAAGGGAGGGAAGGTGAGGGTCATGGTTCCAGCTCTCAGACTTGACTCTGTCTAGAGTCTGCAGAAGGCTCCAGCTATCTTAGTCCCATTTGCACCCAAAGCTCTACTTGCCCCATCTCAGGGTGAGGGGCTCAGGCAGACCCTCATGCTGCACATGGCATGTGTATTTCAGCTCCTCCCCAAAAGGCACCACCACAGCTGCCCACTTCTGGAAGCTTCCATCCCCTGCAGGTCTGATCTCCACCAGTTCCATGACCTGTGTCTGTTCCTCCTCATCCCTCTACCAGGTCAGGGTGATGTCAGCAGGGTAGAAACCCAGAGTCCAGCACCTGAGGGTGACATCACCTTGAGATCTGTGTCTCTGTGGGTATGAGGTCACATGTGTCTCTGGTGGGTATGAAGAGAAGAATTGGAAAATTCAGGTGTTTTTCATTCTTCCTGGGCACTTCAGCAAGGTCCATGAGACATTCTTGGATAATCTTTTCATTGTGATGTTCTAGAATCTGGGTAAAAGAGCTTAAAGTCAGTGAGTTCTAGGTGTCCCATCAGGAAAAAGGGACTTCTGCACCTGACTGAGTGTGGTGGTGTGACTCAGCATCACTGCAGTGTGACTCCAGTGACTGTGTGTGTGTGTGTGTGTGTGTGTGTGTTGAGAACTGGGTCTGAGAGAGGACATGGTGCCCAATGGGCTGCAGAATGGAGGAACTGGGGTTGTTTCAGAGATCTCCTCTCTTCCACAATGAGACAGACTCTGAGCTGTCCTGAGAGGAGGGTGAGCCTGGGAGAGCCATCATCTAGTTAGGAATGCCATGTATGGCTGGGCAATGTGGTTGATTTTAATACCAGCTGAGGAAGAAGGATCTCTTAGTGTGAGCCAATACTGGTCTACATAGAGAATTACAGGACATCCAGGACTACACAGAGAAAGATGCTGTGAAAAACAATACCAAAGAAAGAAGCATAATAGAAAGGAAATCCAGGAATGTTCTCCCTGTTTCAGATGCAAGAGAGGTGGATGGTGCAACATTATATCCAATGCAGAGAAACTGAGTGTTTCTTCTAAAACCAGGAATGAGGTGAGGGTGTCCACTCTCCACTCTATCTGCTATGGTGTTTGAAGGCTCAGCTATTACAATTACACAAGAGAAAGGCATAAAAGGGAACAAAATAGGAAAGGAAGAAATCAAACTATCACTGCTTCTGAATAACACAATCCTTTTCTTAAATGACCCCATTGAGTCTACTGGAAAACTCTTGGACCTAATAAACACTTATGATTTCCAGATACAAAATCAATATAAAAAGTATCCTTCATTCATGCCAACAGTGCACTTTCAGAAAAAGAAATAGGATATGTGCAACATTCAAAGTAACTCCAACAGAATTAAGTGTTTCAGGATACATGTAACCAAAGACATGGAACAACTCTACAATGAAAACTTCAAGATACTGACACAGGAAATCACAGAAGACAATGTTAGAGGATGGAAAGACAATCCATGCCCTGGACTGTCAGAGCAAACACAGTGAAAATGGCCACACTACCAAATTTAATCTACAGGTTTAACGTAATATTATCAAAACTCTATATATTTCACATGTTTAGAAAAAAGAAATCATATGGAATCACAAAAGACCACAAATAGTCAACATTCTTAAGGATTATGGACACTGCTGGAGGTGTTACAATCCCAACCTCAAATTATACTATTGTTATAGTGACCAAGACAGCCTGGAACTGGCATAAAGAGACAGGAAAATCAAAGGAATAGAATAGAGATCCCAGAAACAAAGTCAAAAACTATGCATACTTGTTTTAGACAAAGAATGTGAAACACATATTGGAAAAAAGATCCCATTCTGCAAATGATGCTGCAACACTAGGTTTCTACCTGAGAAGAGTTTTATCTGTCTTTCCTTTCTTTTCCTTCTTCCCTCCCTCCCTCCCTCCCTCCCTCCCTTTCCTTCCTCCCTCCTTTCCTCCTTTCTTTCCTTCTCTCTCTCTCTCTCTCTCTCTCTCTCTCTCTCTCTTTCTTTTTTTCTTTCTGGAACTCAGTAGACCAGGCTGGCCTCCAGCTCACAGAGATCCATTTTTCTCTGCCTTCTATGTGCTGGCCTTAAAGTCTTGCTTCATCTTTTACCTTCTACAAAGATAAAGTCAAAATGGAGCAAAGACCTTATAAAGTTCAACCTTGAAACACCTAAACTTCAAGAAGACAACTTAGGGTAGACCAGAGCCTCAGAATAGGGCAATACCAGAGGCCGTGCATCCGCATGAAAATAAAACCTCTTCACAGCATAGGACACAATCAGCAGAGTGACCAGAAGCCACAATAGGAGGAAACCTGTACAAGGGACTAGTGTCCTTAATTTACAGAGAACCTCAGAAACTAAATACCAAGGAACTCGCCATTGAACAACTGGGTGAGGGAACTGAATAGACAGTTTTCTTAAAGAAGAAAAAACTAAACACCAGGCATGGCGGGGAACGCCTTTAAACCCAGCACTGTGGAGGCAGAGGCAGGTGGATCTCTATGAGTTCAGGAGACCAGCCTTGTCTCTTGTCTAGAATGACTTCCAGGGCTACACAGAGAAACCCTGATTTGGGGGGCGGGGAACAACAACAGAAAAACCACCTTAATCTAAAACAAACAAACAACAAAACAAAACAACCCTCCCAAGTGGCCACACTGTTTTTCCTCATAAGCTGGATTTAGCCATCAATGTAAACAAATGTACAAGTGGACACAGTGTAAAATCACAAAAAAAGCCAACAAGAAAGGCCAAATACTGAAGGAAGAGGAAGAACTAAATGTAGGTAATGGGCTTGAGTTATGAAACAGGTTATAAATATAATTATTTTCTAGTTCTAAATCGTTCATAGTTTTTTTGTGTGTTGATTCTGAATAAGTGGATAAAAATATATTTGACATGAACGTGTAAAGTCCACTGCAAACATACACAGGTTCAGAATGGCTGCTCTAACTATAGAAGTTCGCTGAGAGGTATAGACTCGTTCTGGTTAATTCTGGAGTGTTTTATTTTTTCTTTTGTAATAAAGTTTAAAAAAATAAACGAATGAAGAGGCAGGGGCATTACCCCAGCAGACAGGTCTCTTCTTCCTCAGGACTGAGCCCCAACCCAAGGGCAGACTGAAGAGCTGCCCTAGGCCCCACGCACGTGCGTGCAGGTTAGTGGTTCCATTCTCCAGGTATCTGCAGAGTCTTTCTATGCACTCGCCCTCCAGGTAGGCCCTGTATCTCTCTGCCTCACCAGCCTGCTCCAACTCCAGCCGGATAATCTGTGCCACCCTGTCCACAGCTGTCCACGTTCTCAGGTCCTGGTTCAGGGAGATGTAATCGCGGCCATCATAGGCGAATTGTTCATATCCACGGAGGAGGCGTCCGTTTGAATCCACATCACAGCCAGATATCACCTGGATGGTGTGAGAGCCTGTTCCCATCCCCGTGGTCAGCTCTGCTCCACGGCCTCACCCACCCACTGCCTTCTCTAAACTGAATAGGAAGCCCGCTCCCAGTCTGTGTCTTGGGCAGAACTTAGGACTTGGCACCAGGGGCCACTGGGTCTGTCCTTGGAGAATTGGAGGGGTTAAGACTTCCGACTCGCAGTCACTCACCTTCATGGCTATGGTTGTAGTAGCTGGACAGGGCCCTCAGGTTCCTTCTGAAAGTCTGCTGGGTGATCTTGGCTTTCTGTGTTTCCCTCTCCCAATACTCTGGTCCCTCCCGCTCCACCCAAGGCGCCAGCGGCTCCATCCTCGGAGTCTCCGCATCGCTGTCGTAGTGCACGAACTGTGTGTCATCCACGTAGCCAACAATGATGAACCGGGGCTCCCCGAGGCCGGGCCGGGACACGATGGTGTAGAAATACCGCAGCGAGTGCGAGCCTGGGGGCGCCGCTCAGTGAGACCCCGACCTTCCTCCCCGGAACACAGGCAGGTGCGCGGGCCGGGAGGGGAGCAGGGCGCGGGACTCGGGACGCGGTGGAGAAGGGCGGGAGGGTCTGGCTGGGCAAAGCGGGGACTCAGCTTCCCCGGGGCCGTCCCTGCCCTCTCCGCAGAGTCCGTTTCCCTCCCGACCCCGCACTCACCCGCGCGGGTCCTGGTCGGGGACAGGACGGCCGCCAGCAGCAGGAGCAGCATGCGCGTGCCTGACTCCATCGTCCTCACCTCAGATCTGGAGCGCCTCATCCAGCAGCCGGTCTGAATTTCATAACAGGTGCCCATGTGAGTCTGTTGATGGTTGGCTGTCCGGGATCTCTCCACCCATTTGTGGGTGTGAACCGCGCATTGTTACCCGTTTCTGGGCTCTGGCTGCTGCGGTAAAGGGCTCCCGTTCTTACTGAAACTCCCTAGAATCCTCTGCTTCTACTTAACTAGGAAGCTCTGCAGACTGCTCATGACACAGCGGCCGATTTCCTCAGAGCCAGATGGAGCGTGGGAGAGCCTGAGAACGAGTCAGAGAGCAAGAGGGAGAGAGAGGTCTCTGGAGTGCCTAGATTAAAGGTGTTCACCGCCACTGTCCATTGAATTCTTCACTGTCGCATTAAGCTTCTCAGTTGTACTTAGATATACTATGTAGAAAGCTCTACCCCCAAAAGGAGTTGCCTGCTGATCCCAATATTACCAAAGTTACTGTTTCCTACCTGCACACACTAGTAGACTCTGCTGATGACTTACAGAGTTACCATCAGAGGCTGCACCAGGATTCCCAAGGCCAGGGAGGTAGAGGGAGTGGAGCAGAGCAGAACACAGTCCCAGCAGGACCTGACCCTGAGGATCAATCCTTTCTGCTGATCCTACACACAAGCATTAGATTCTGAGAGATTGGGTGAGGGGGAGAAACTCCAGGCCACAGCTCTGGAAGGAGGCAGGAGCTCAGGAGACTGAAGTTCACCTCCTGAGTGCAGGGGTCTTGTTGGGACAGAGACAGGAAAACACCCCTATTGTGGTCACACTCAAAGGAGAATGAGACAGGCACCACTCACAGGAATGACACAGGGTTACTCCTTCACACAGCTAAGAAGAGAAGAAATAAACAGGAAGGATGGTTAAAAAGCTACAGCCAGGACTGAGGCCAGGCAGGCCTTACACTGCAGCCCTGGCTGCTCACAAGCTTGGACAGGACAGGGCTGGGGACACCCCTGTGTCCTGTGACCAGAGTCTGTCAGCACATGGTTATACTAAGTGACAAGGACAAGAGCCCAGGAGGACATAGCTGAGGACTGACCACAGCAATTCACACATGCACTGAGCTTCCCCTGGCACAGCCCCATCCTCACTCAGCTCCCACAGACTCCTCCTGTCTCCTGACACTCAGCACAGAAAACATGGATTCTGGAAGGTTCTCCTTGCTGCCATTTTTTTCTCGATCACAGTTTAAGAATTCTCTCCATTGGGCTAGAGAGATGTCTCAGAGGTTAAGAGCACTGACTGTTCTTCTAGAGGTCCTGAGTTCAGTTCCCAGCAACCACATTGTGGCTCACAACCATCTGTAATGAGATCTGGTGCCCTCCTCTAGCCTGCAGTCATACATGCTGTATACATAATAAATAAATAAATCTTTTAAAAAAAAGAATTCTCTCCATTAATTTAACCTGCCATCTTTCAGGTCAAGGACATGAACATCAAGTTCACATTCAGAATCTTATTTCAGTTGGGAAGTCAGGGGCTGCAGCTCAGGGCAGCATGGAGGTGACAGGATGGAGATGTCCCCTCCTGCCTGCTGGACCAGGAAGGTTGGCTGTGGAAGGGAACACAGGCAGTGCAGGGACAGGGTCCTGGTGGAAAGGGCTGGGCTTCCCAGTGAGTCACATTGATGCACAGGAAAAACTTAAGAATGAGAATCATTGGTTCTTAAGTCAGAACTAGTCCCTCAGTCCCATGATGCAGCTGTTCTGAGATAAAGAACAAGAGTCAAGAAAATCAATATAAAGACCTCTCAAAGGCCCACCACTCACTGAGAGGTCTAAGTACCAGAGGCCCTGGGACCCAGTCCTCTCCTCCTTGCCTCAGCCCCAATCCCAGGCCCTAGGGTGTCACCTTTTCAAGCCTCCAGATACAAGTCAGAGCTCTAGGCACTGTCCCTGCCTGCAGAAGAAATAACCTGACAAGTGGGGCTGGAGGAGAAACTGTAGCAATAAAGCCCGCGATGCTACCATCACCTTGTCCGGGCAAGGGGCTGTGGATCGAAAAACAGAGACAAGAGACAGTGGGTCACTCGCCTCAGCAGAATGCCTAATGCTGTTTATTGAAAGAGGGAGGAGCCGGGCGGGGGTGGCCCAGGCCTTTAATCCCAGCACTCAGGTGGCAAAGGCAGGGGGAACTCTGTGAGTTCGAGGCCAGCTGGGGCTACCAAGTGAGTTCCAGGAAAGGTGCAAAGCTACACAGAGAAACTCTATCTCGAAAAACAAAAACAAAACAAAACAAAACAAAACAAAAAAAAAAAAAGAAAAGAAAAGAAAGAGGGAGGAAACCTTAAATACAGGCTTACAGCACAATGGGAGAACCCCAGAGGGCAGCAGTTCACTACTAATGTTTACAGTCTTGCGTCTAAGCTGTTAATGCCCAATATGCAGGATACACAAACAAGGAACCTCCCTTAAGCATTCAGGAGCTTGGAAACTTGCAGGGAATTAGCACAGGGAGGACATCAAGGTCAAGGTCAGCAAGCAAGGCAACAGCTACCCAAAACAGGGGCCAGGGCCCTACAAGAAACTATCAGCTCGGCTTCTATCCCTATTCAGAGAGAATTCTTCCCTCACATACTGACCTCCAGCAGTAATATAGCGTCCTATTCCACCTGTGAGAAGAAGAGCTGTGAGAGACCAGGGAAGTCCTGGTCCCCAGCAAGCTTTCAGAATTGTGAGTGCAGACCACAGTTGGGTCAGGAGGCATGGGGAAGGAGGTATGCAGGAAATGAACCAATGCCAGTCTGGAGGTCTGTCCTAGCAGGAACATTCTCCTCTGGCCTCTGATCTCTGAGAATCATGCCCCCATCTCCTCCATCATCAGGGTTATGAATGTGTTCTTCATTTTCCAAGTGCTTTACAGTAAAGTGATTGTCAGCATGCAGACCCAGAGATAGGCATGGGTGTGCACATGGGGTGTGTGTGTGTGTGTTGCTTCCCATTCACAATGCACCCTTCTGAACCTGCTAAATTATAACAACAACAAACAAAGAAACAAAAAAACCAAATCAACCAAACAAACAACAATAACAACAACAAAAACAAAAAACCAGACCTTGTCCTTCCATACCTGTGTTCTTCCTCATCCACATCATAACACCTCCAATGATAAAACCTAAGATCAGCACAGCTCCAAGGACAGCACCAACAATGGTCATGATGGGGAAGGACTGAGGAGGCTCTAGGAAAGAAAAGGAAAGGATGGGAAGGTGAGGGTCATGGTTCCAGCTCTCAGGCCTGACTCTGTCCAGGGTCTGTAGAAGGCTCCAGCTATCTTAGTCCCATTTGCATCCAAAGCTCTACTTACCCCATCTCAGGGTGAGGGGCTCAGGTAGACCCTCATGCTGTACATGGCATGTGTATTTCAGCTCCTCTCCAAAAGGCACCACCACACTGCCCACTTCTGGAAGCTTCCATCCCCTGCAGGTCTGGTCTCCACAAGCTCCATGTCCTGTGTCTGTCCCTCCTCATCCCTCTTCCAGGTCAGGGTGATGTCAGGAGGGTAGAATCCCAGGGCCCAGCACCTCAGGGTGACATCACCTTGAGATCTGGGGTGATGGGTCACATGTGTCTCTGGTGGGTGTCTGAAGAAGAGTTGGAAAGTTCAGGCATTTGGCATTCTTCCTGGAGACTCCAGCAGGGTCCCTGTGAACAACCTGGAAAGGGTCAGAAATGGGATGAAGGAGAGATGAAAATCACCTGTAGCTTAGACACAGGATTCTTGCTGTGGGATGCCTTCCTGTAGGCTGTGAATATGTGTGACTCCCATTGGATAATAAATCAAGCTGTGTTGGCTTATGGCAAGAAAGGTTACAGCCAGGTGGGAAATCCAAGCAGAGATACAGAGAGGAAGGGTAGAGTCGGGAGAGACGCTGGCCCGCCTGCCACCAAAGAGAACAAGATCCCAGCACACCGGTAACACCATGGCCACGTGGAACATACAGATTTATAGAAAAGAGTTAATTTAAGATGACAGAGCTAGCTAGCAAGACGCTAAAGCCATAGGTCACACATTTTTTAATTAATGTAAGCCTCTGAGTGATTATTTTATAAGTGACTACAGGACCGTGGGTGGGAAGATTGGTCCCACCACAGGGCCAGGCATGACCCGAGAAACTTTTGGCTACATGTTCTGGATAATTTTATCTTTGGGAAATTGAAGATATGGGTGAAAAAGCCCAGGGTCATAAACTCTAAATGTCACATCAGGAAAAAGGGGCTTCTGTCCTGACTGGGTGAGACTGAGCTCAGGATTCAGCATCACTGATGTCAGACTCAAGAGACCTTGAGTATGGGCAGAGAACTGGGCCTGAGCAAGGCTATGGTCCACACAGGACTGCAGACAGAACGTTAACTGCCTTGGTCATTTCAGGGATCTCTCCTTCCCTCAGGAGACACACTCTGAACTGTCCTAGGATTAGGGTGAGCCTGGGAGAGTCAGTGCCTGAAAAAGGGTCAGGACACCCAATAGAACTTTTCACCTCCCATATGGGAGAGAGAGGGAGACAGGTGGATATAATGTCACAAGGAGAGACATTCAGAGTTTTCTCTAAAGCCAGGAAGGAGACAAAGGTGCACACTCTCCACTCTCCACCATCCTATTTGATACAGTGATGATTTTATATAAGCTATCAGAATTAGACTGAAGATAGGCATAAAGGGATCAAAATAGGGAAGGAAGAAAGCACACTATTTCCAGACAACATGATTCTTTTCTTAAAAAACCCTGTTGAGTCCATAAGAACATTCTTGGGTCTAGTAAATATTTATAGTTGCCAGATACATATATCATTATGAAAATATAGCCTTCGTTCATGCCAGCAGTGTATTTTTAGAAAAAGTGATTCCAAAATGTACAACATTCAAAGTCATTCCACCGGAATCAATCGTTTAGAGATATACATAATCAACAAAATGGAAGAACTCTATGATGAAAACTTCAAGATACTGACACAGGAAATCACAGAAGAGAATGTTAGAGGATGGAAAGACAATCTATGTCCTGGACTGGCAGAGTTAATGTTGTGAAAATGCCCAAACTACCAACATCATTATGTAGATTTAAAGCAATATTCCCAAAACCGATGTATTTCATAGCTTTAGGAAACAGACAAGAATCTGTACAGATGACGAACAATGTTCAGGTGTTACAATTCCAACCTCCAATTAGACTAGAGCTATGGTGACAAAGATGACCTGGAACTGACATAAAACAGACAGGAGACTAAGGGATAGGATAGAGATCCTGGAAACAAGATGACAAAGGTAAGCATGCTTAATTTAGACAAAGAATGCAAAACACACATTGGAAAAAAGATCCCATTGTACACATGATGCCGCAACACTGTTTTTCTGCCTGAGAAGATGAATTTAGATTCTCACCTTTACCTTGTACAAAAGTAAACTTGAAATAGAGCAAAGACCTTATTAAGTTCAACCTTGAATGACCCAAACTTCAAGAAGACAACCTGGGGGAAATCCTTTCAGATCCTGGGGTAGACAAGAGCCTCAGAATAGGACAATACCACAGGAACTAATAAGGCCATATATGTGCATGAAAATAAAGTCTCTTCACAACACAGGACACAGTCAGCAAAGTGACCAGAAGCCACAACAGGAGGAAACCTGTACCAGCTGCAGACAAGGGACTAGAGTCCTCAGTTTACAGAGAACTGCAGAAACTACATACCAAGGAACAATGTCAATCATTTCATGGTCGAGAGAACTGAATAGACAGTTATTCTAATAAAAGAAAAAAAAACATAAATGGTTACTAACTATTTTTAGTGTGTTCAGTGCCTCTAGCCTATATGAAAATGCAGATTAAAACTACTTTACGGGGCTGAAGAGTAGGGTCAGAGGTTAAGAGGACTTGATGCTCTTGCAGAGGACCTGGGTTAGATGCACTGTATGTAACTCAGGTCCCAGGGAATCTGACTCCCTCTTCTGAGCCTAGGAATCTCACCAGGCACACATGTAGTGCACACGCACACGTACAGGCAAAACACTCATCCATGTAAAAGAATGAAATAAAAATGAAAACGAAAAAAGTGCTTAGAGATAGCCTTCAGCCCATCAGAATAGCTGTCATCAATAAATCTGACAGCAAATGTCCACCTTCAGGAAGATGTAGCACTGGCTATCTTAGGCCTCCTGACTAGGTGCAGAGCAGTCGCCCATCTGGCCCCAGGTCTCAGCCATACATCCACTGGAGCAAGAGAGGATCTGGTGAGGACCGGGTGGTCAGCGCCACCTTGTGGCCGCCGTGCCCCGCTGTCAGTCCATAATCTGAAATTTTCAGAAACAGAAATTCAATGAAAACTTATGCGAAACTCTGCGGGGTCTTTCCTGTTTGAGGGTCTGGGCATATGTTTGGATGAAACTTCGACCCAGCGGGTCAAGATGACCCACTCCTGTCCCAGGGGAGATTCAGGGGTCGTGTCTGTGATCCGGGCCATGGTCACTCACCTTGGTCACTCTGTAGTAGCCAAGCAGGGTCTTCAGGTTCCATCTGAAGTTCTTCCCTGTGGTGTTTCTGACCCCCCCCCCCCAATACTTGATCTCCTCCTGCTCCACTCCACTCATGGCGCTCACAGCTCCATTCTCGGAGTCTCCGAATCACTGTGGAAGCGCAAGCACGACATGTCATCGCTGTAGTGATGAACCCGGACTCCCAGAGGCGGGGTGAGAATGAGGCAGTGTGGAAATACCTCAGCTAGTGCCAGCCTGCAGGAGGCAAGCTGTGAGACCCTGACCCTCCTCCCTTGCCCAGGCATCCAGGTGAGGGCGGGGAGACAGGAGGGATCAGGGCCTCTAAGATAAGCTGACAGGATACTGTCCCCTCCTGGCGCCCTGCTCCTTCCTGCAGAGTCCCTTTCCCTCCCCACCCCTTTACTCTCAGCTGGGTGCTGGGTCAGAACTAAGGCGCTAGCCAGCAGCTGGACCAAAGTGACAGAGGGCACAGTCCTCACTCTGGGGTCTGTGATGAATGTGGACTTTGTTCCTGTTGACTGCTGGACCTGGAAACTCTGTGGTCGAAGGCTTCTCCAGAAACTAGGTGTTCTACAGGCATGAGAATTGTGAGTGCGTTACTTGTGTGCAGTAAGAAGAACCAGATCAGGGCTGAGAGACAAAGCCATACTGTGCATATGCGGCATCTTTATTAAAGAAAATGCGGTCAGAGCCATGACAGGACTTGGGATTTTAACCAGACCCATGTTGTCTGTCACTCATGCCTCTTGGGTACATACTTCGTTTCTCTGAGTCTTAGTGCAGTCTGTGTAAGTTTTAGATCATTTAATTTATTTTTAAATTATGTTCGTGTGGTTTTGTGTGTGAATATAGGAGTGCAGTGCCCGAGGAGGACAGATTTCCTGGAGCTGGAGTTATAGGTGAGTGTGAGCTCCATGTGAGCACTGGGAACCAACCCCAGGTTCTTTGTAAGATCTGGATATGTGTTCTTGACAGCTGAGCCATCTCCCCAGTCTGTGGGAGGAGTCTTCTTAATTCTTTGTTTCATGTAATCTTAGATATTATACTTTAACTACCCAAGTGGTAGTTACTAGGTGGTTAATTACAAGGTGATTCTATCATTGAATGTTTCTGTTCTGCTCTATGAAAACCACTGGCTCTGAGGCTGCAGAGAGACCTCAGCCACTGAGAGAACTTGCAGCAGCTCACAACTGCCTGTCATCCAGTTCCAGGACGTCTGCCTCCCTCTTCTGGCATCCCTGGGCAGTACAGGCTGTGATAGACTTGTCTTCATGTGGGTAAAATACTTCTGTACATAAAATTAAAAAATTTTAAAAAACAGAGGTGGGAGGGAGGGACAGAGAGAGGAGAGAGAGGGAGGGAGGGAGGGTGAGAGGGTGGGAGGGAGCAGGGGAGGGGAGGGAAGGAGGGAGGGAGCAGGGGAGGGGAGGGAAGGAGGGAGGGAGGGAGGTAGAGATTCCATTTGAAACAAACACCATGGGGCCTATCTTCCAATGTGCTACTTAATAATGTATCATTTTTGAGGCTTAATCGATTTAATTAATCAATTAATGTTTGAAACAGGCTTTTGGAGGGTAGCCTGAGCTGGTTGCAAACTGATGTTCCTCCTGGGAAGGGAGAAAACCAAGCAGGGTCAAAGGGCATACCTCTAGTAGAGGAACATGGGAAAGAGGCACTTTGACAAGAAGACAGGATGGAGGGGGCGGTGGGGTCTGTAATCACCTAGGACACAAATCTCCTGTCTGTGAGAGAGGCTCCAGATTAGGTTCTTGAGGTGGGAATAGGTGTGGCATCTTTCCACAAGCAGTGGTCAGAGGAGAAAGAGCAAGCTGGGCAAAGAACTCAACCCCCCGAGTTCCTGATGGTAACTGCAATGTACCAGTCACCTCCTGTACCTGCCACCATGCTGTCCCCTCCCTGGTGAGCTGTTTCTCCTGGGACTGGGCAAAATCGGCCTTTCTTCTCTTAAGTCTTCCTGTTGGGTATCTGCTAACAGCAGTGAGAACACTAACAATGCAGACATTTAATACCGGAATGGGTCAGTGATGTGATAAACCTGCCTATGTGGTTCTTAGGCCCTTGGAACTGGTTGTAGCAAGAATGTGGAAGAGTTAGGAACTTTGGACTGGAAAAGCGCTAGAGAGTTGCAGGCAGAGCTTAGGGGGGAGTTGCAGTGGAGATTTGGAAACCATAATGCCCAGAGCAATTCACACAGTGGAGGTAATTTACCTACTAAGCATCTCTTCAGTCCTGTCCCCGACAAAAACAAACAAAAAAAAAACGAAGTGATAGGTTTCTAAAATTCTCCACTTCTCCCAAGGAAGTTTAAATGTTCAGAAAAGACATTTTTATTAATGAATAAATGCTGGTGGGCTGCAGAGGTGGCTCAGTAGCTAAGATCACTTACTGCTCTTGCAAAGGACCTGGCTTTGATTCCTAGTTCCCACATAGTGGGTCATAACCATCACTTCAGATTCAAGGGATCTGACACCTTCCTCTGGACTCCACACACAGCACACACAGAGTGCACATACATATGTGCAGGCAAAACAATGATACACATAAAACAAAAATAAATCTTTAATAAAAAGCTAATGTGATAGGTTCTTGCTCAACTTTGAGAAAATGTTTGTTAATATATTTATATCAGGCCCATATCCAAGAAGGCATCGATATCATTTAGCATCTTCTTTTTCTGCCTGGCAATGGACCCAGGATCTCACAAATGGTAGGCAAGTGCTCTGCCCATGACAGGCAAGGGTCACCCCAGCCTATCCCTGTCATACATTCTTTAAAATGAATATGGTATTTCATAGAAGAGGCTGCTTCAGTTCATACAAAGTGTTTTCCTCTAACAGGGGTGGTGTCTTTGAATGTTGCATGGGTGCTGTCTGTGGACTTGCCATCTGTGTCGCTTGGATGTTTCTTCTAAGATGCTTAAGAATATTCCACACTGCAAAACTGAGGAAGGTGGGTCTCTGCTGGGAGGGCTGGGGTGGAGGAAGGCAGCATTTGACACTCAGCTCGGTACTCCAGCCTGCCTTGGGTTTCCAGGACTCGGGCAGAGCTGACCCGACAAGAAGAACTGCACAGTGCTCTGCTTACACTGCGGGAGGCACCAGTGGGCAGGATCCACAGTGGACGGGGCAGCACAGGGGACCTGACCAGTCTGCATCTCCATGCCAACCACGTACACAGGCTCATGGAGCATCTGAAGGAGGTGCAGGAAGGACACTCAAGACCCAGTCAGGGGAACTGGGAAACACGTGGCTGGATCCATACAGAGCAGCGGTGCCAGGAGAGAAAACAGAAAACATCAAAACCGTTAATGGTGGACAGTTTATGAAGGTCTAAGGCTGAGCAGCCGCTTATACAGATGGAGGAACACAGGAATTGGGAGTGATGGCCCTGGTGCCCTCTACATCACAACCTGAGGACCTAATAGGGTGTCACAGGGACAATGGGGAAGGATAGGAGCAAGGTTATCTTCTGCACTACAAAGATTCACTTATATGCCACATTGGAGAATCTGTATGAACATGGTATGAATGGCTTAGCACATAAGCACTGCTAATCATTTCTTTGGTCTTCATTAACCACTCCAGTCCACAGGTTCCTGGTGGAGTGCAAGATTGATACCCACAGACTCTAACTAGACACAGCATTTCTAGAAGTGTGGCCTGAGCTCAGACATCCAGAGGATGGGGGACGAGTGTAAGGGATGAGGAGAGGCTGAGACATAGGCTTTAAGAGCACTGTGAACGAGGTGGAGGAAGAACACTCAGGGCTCTGTCAGGGGACCTAGGAATCCGTGCTGGATCCACACAGGGCAGGAGTACCAAGAGAGAAAAAAACAAAACAAAAACAAAAACCCTGATGACATTGGAGGCTTTAGGGCTGAGGAGAAAATCACAGAGAGGGAGACAAGGAGGTGAAGAGAGGCTCCCATGTAGCTCATGGTACAATATGGGGTGTGTGATACACAAGTTCTCCTATGATGGGAGGGCCATACAGTGTGACTAGAGGCCCAGGTTGAATAGTGGACATTGTCTTACACCACAGATGTGCAGGTATGTTTGATTACCTGGTCTGAAGTTGGTGGAACTCTTTGAGGTGAGGAGGAGTGGCCACATTAGAAGAGGGGTGTCACTGGGGCACTGCTGGAGCCCATGTAGGTTTCCTAGTGGCTGCACCCAGCAGGACTGCATAAGAGGTTGATTGGACCTCGGGCCTGAGATTCAGGTGTTTGTAGGGGTCTACACTTGACTGTAACTAGCAAGGGAGAGGTCTTTTGCTCCTCCTCTCGGCATTGTTATAAATAGACCTTTGGAATAATGTTCTGGGCCGGTGGATAAGGATCCAGACTCACTCGAGTCTATCCTGCGTTTCTCTCTGTTAATCTACACCTCTATTTCTAGCTAACTCTCTTATCCCTCATTCCTGAAGAGTCCCTGGGGTAAATAATGGTGGGGGCTGATCTGTCACAGGGCAGACTTCAAGGTTTCAAAAGCCCACTGGGGCACTTTTAGTTGGCATTCCCTGTCTCATGCTTGTGGATCAGGATGTGATCTCTCAGCTTCGGCTGGAGCACTATGCCTGATTGTCTGCTGCCCTGTTCCCTGCCATGATGGTCATGGACTCTAACCCCGCCCCCTTCCCCAGTAAACTCTCTCTTCTATATGTTGCCTTGGCCATGGTATCTTATCACAACAATAGAAAAGACACCAAGACAGTTGATTAACACAAAACAATGTAAACTGCTAGGAGGCTGTGAAGAAATCACAGATGCCATCTGAAACTTTACAAAGACAAAAATCATCTGCCCATCCAAACTCTTTTATTTTTTAAGGATTTGTTATTATTTCTAATAATGTTTGTGTGTGTACATACATGAGTATAAGTGTCCACAAAGCCCAGAAGAGAGTATCAGGTCCCATGGAGCTGTGGTTACAGTAGTTGTGAACCACTTAGGCAGGTGCTGGAGTTGAACTCAGGTCCCCTGGAAGAGCAGCAGACACTCCACCACTGAGCTCTCTCTCCAACCACCTGTCACCCCGGTCCTTTTAATGGCCTGTGTGGGCAGTAGAGACACTAGATGGCTAACGATAAATACACAACAGAGGTGAAGCAAGTGCTGTGACTGTTCATGACACTCTT